AAATCTCCTGTAGTAGCCAGCTAGACCCAAAAAACTTCTTAGTTCCTTCACATTTTGAGGGATAGGCCAATTGGCTATAGCCTCCACCTTTCTCTGGTCTGTCTCCACTCCCTGCCCAGAGATGAAGTGCCCTAAATACTCCACTTTAGGTACAGCAAAGTCACACTTACTTCTTTTGGCGAATAGAGTGTGTTTATGAAGTATACCAAATACTTCTTGGAGGTGTGACACATGTTCTTGCAAGCTTTTGCTGTAGACTAAGATGTCATCAAAAAAGACCAGCACAAACTTCCTCAAAAAGGGTTGGAAAATATGGTTCATAAGACCCTGGAAGGTGGCAGGTGCATTAGTTAGGCCAAAGGGCATAACTAAAAATTCATAGTGACCCATGTGTGTTTTGAATGCTGTCTTGAACACTTCCTTGTCATTGACTCTAATCTGGTGATACCCTGCCCTTAAGTCTATCTTGCTGAATATTGTAGCACCAGCTAGCTCATCAATGAGTTCTTATACCACAGGAATAGGGAATTTATCCTTTATAGTAGCCTTATTAAGCTCCCTATAGTCAACACATAGTCTCCAAGATCCATCCTTCTTGCTGACTAACACCACTGGGGCTGCAAAGGGGCTGTTACTCAATTGAATTATACCATTATCCAACATTTCTGCAATCAACTTCTCAATGATATCCTTTTGCTTAAGTGGATATCTGTATGGCCTGATGTTTATAGGTTGGCTGCCCTCTTTTAAAGGAATGCTGTGATCAAAAATCCCTCTGCTTGGTGGAAGGCCAGTTGGGGTGTTGAAAACTCCTTCGTACTGTGCTAACACCCTTTCCACCTCTTGGGGTATGGCTTCTTTGTCCTCCAGCCCTCCTTTGATAGGGTAATCTTCCCTCTGAACTTGGACCATACACATTTGTGCCATAGTGCATATGGTTTTAGCTAGTTGCCCTTTTTTCATCACACTGATCCTTTGTTTAGCTCCTCGGAGTAAATGATTCCTGCCCAAATATTCAAACTCCATATGTAGTTGTTTGAAATTCCACCTCACAGTCCCCAAAGTAGTTAACCACTGTATGCCAAGCACAATATCACAACCTCCTATTGGCATGATATACATGTCAGAGGTGAACTCAGTACCCTGTAACTTTCATTTAAACTTTCTGCAGACATGTGTACACTGTAAGCTGTAGCCATCTGCCACTGTCACCTTCAATGTAGTAATGGGTTCCAAGTAGCAACCCAATCTGTAAGCTAGATTGCTGTCCGCCTGTCCATGAAATTATGTGTACTCCCGGAGTCAATCAAGAGTTGTAAAGCCTTCTTGCCCACAAACCCAGTGACTCTCATTGTCTGGTATCCATTGCCCCCAGATATAGCATGAAATGAAATGGAGGGGTCATTATCAACCCTTGCTTCCGCCTCAGCCAATTCAAATTGCTCAGCTTCTTCCTCTCCTAGCACTTCTACCAGAAATAGTTGAGTCTCCCTGTTCTCACACTTGTGTCCCTTCTCAAATGGTTTATCGCAATAATAGCATAGCCCTTTTGCTATTTTCTCAGCCCTGACAGATGCAGGGATGAACTTGGGATTTCTCTGCGTGAAGGTTGGTTTATTGGCTGAGCTAGACGAGTTGTAACTGCCCTGAGGTCTGAATGCACCCTGATAGCCTGTTGGAGTGCTGGATTTGGCAGATGATTCAGGCTTAGCTAGTAAAGGTGTATTATTCCTCCCCATGTTAGATTGAAGTTGTGAGTGCTTGTTGGATTTATCTTGAGTTCTCCAGGCCTCCACAGTTTGCTCTTGTAACCTTGCATAACTAATGGCCTTAGTTACTGATGTTGGAGCAAAAGCCTTCACAAAAGGCTTAATTTGTGGCTTTAGTCCTGCAATAAAGCTATCCAGGAAATACTCCTGAGGCATGTTAGGCCTCTTCCTTAACAACAGCCCTTTAAGTTCTTCAAACTTATCCACATATTCTTCTAAGTCTCCTGTTTGACAGAGTTTATTGAATTCTTCTACTATATCATTGTGATCATCTTCCTTGAATCTGGCCCCCAAATCCATGACAAACTCATCCCAACAAATGTTATTTCTCCCTTGACCATAGTTACTGAACCAAATTTTAGCTCTACCTTTGAGATGAATAAAGGCTAAATTTACCTGCTGTTCTTCAGGTAC